ACCTCCTGAACCCTATGCAACCTTAATTTGGTGTTGTTCTGAGTCGTCATTGATTTTTGGTGATTTTTTAATTCTCCATTGAAAGCCTTTGATTCAGAGGCTTTCAATGGAGAATTTAAAAAATCACCAAAACTTGACAACGACTCAGAACAACACCAAATTAAGTTTGCATAGGGTTCAGGAGGTGGGCTAACGATTGCAAGCATTTAAAACAGGTTTCTAACAGTTTAAAACACTTTTACAGGAGCGAAAAAGGGACATCGTTAAGTGAAATTCCACCATAGAGAACATTGTTAAACGATGGGGGAAATTCCTCAAAGAAACCCATCGCTGTGTGAATTCATCATTGTATGAAGCAATCGTTGTGCGAGGCACCACTGTACATTAATATCTAGATGTCACAGGTTCTCCAGCTGAGCATGAAGCCAACATCTCTGTACTGTGGTTGAGCGTGTTTGTTTCTTGTTTCCCTGCTCTGGAGTTGCCTAGTGTAATGTCTATAAAGTACACAATGACACCACTCTACTTCATGAAAGGATTAGAGGTCTGGGAATTTGCAGGGGATAGACAAACTTTTGCAGACTGGAACAAACGTCTTTTAGTACAATTGAATGAGAGGTTCCCGTGAACTGTACCAGTTGATGAGATCTGGACATACAAATGCCATGGCATGAAGAGAAACAGCACTGAAATGTAATGATCAAATTTCACTGTAAGCATGTATTTAAAGTGTAAATTTTAAAAACAAGAAAAAGAAGGCTATAATATATGTTGGCACAATATAGGCAGATGTATACAATGTGTATAGAAAGAAAAATATATCTGTCCCGGATGAGGACTATGTGGTTTCCAATGGGGGCAGGCGCGCTACAGGAGTGATGGGAGGTGTAGTCCTAAAAGGAAAGAAAAAAATGGAACGCTTACAACCAATCCTAACAATCAGTGATTCTGGTTAGGGTTGATGAGAATTTGAAGATCAGCAACATTGGCTGGTTCAGAGGTTCCTCATCCCACTATGCATGACTGTGCCTTTTCCCTAGAGACCTTTGAAAGCAATCTATTAACTAATTTTTCTCTCTCCCATTAGGTGGGCCACATATTACGTCGAGACAAGGAACAGAGCCGTGCTCTGGTGCAGCTCCAGCAGGATGAGGAGAAGCTGCTGTCACTGGATTATGATGCTGTCTGTCAATATGTTGGTGGTTCAGAGGACGAATGAACCTCTCAGCCTCACTGCCATACACAGCATCTGCAGGACTCCTAAGACCTAACATAACAGGGGGAAAAACAGTATAGGACTGTGAGCAGAGAACAAGACTGTCTCCCTATTAAGAGCAGATGCTCTGTTGTTTTTGTTTTTTAAATGAAGGCTAAATATGAGGTTACTTGGATTTTCACCAGTAACGGTGTACTAATTTCTGGTTTCTAAACCATTGAGCTAGTTCTCAAGTACCTGATTATCAAAGGCTGCCAAACATACTCACTGAATGAAGTTTAGACCACCGCTAAAAAGTTACAGGCCAACTCTGGTTCCAAGGCTGGCCTGAGAACAATGTGACTTACATCAGTCTGATTCAGGTCTAGCATTTGAGTCTGGATTTTTAGCCCCTGGGTTCTGATCTTGAGAATAGCTAGTGCATTCTGTCTGTTGAAATACAGGAAAAAGACTGGTGTGTTTTTGTGTATAAAATATTTTGCTCTTAAAATAAAGGGAAAAAGTGTTTGGGCATTCAAGGGTTGAATCTGTGCTTCTTCACCTCTGAATTTTCCCAAATGACACACACATTTACTAGCACATCTGTGTAATGCTCAGCTTTCCAAGATCTTCAAGCAACTAACGGGCAGAAGAGACACTTGCTGCAATACACAGCACCTTGACCGGCTCACTTCTTAGCCTGGCATAACCAAAATAAGGTTGTAGCACTTTAAAAGAATTTTGAAGTCCAGACCTGTGCAAACATGGGCATTAAATACAATGCCTGATGTGTCTTGATGTCGGTATCTGTGCATTCTGAAATCTAGAAAACTTTTGTTTAAGCAACTATCTAAAATCAACATGTGTGAACACTGACTAGTGCCACAATAAACTTGGAAGATCCAAGTATTCTGTAAATCAGCTTTTTGGGGTATCGGGTGGTTACATTTTTTTTACATTAAATTGTAACAAACTGTAAGTAGACACCTTGTTTTTGCTGTTCTCTATGCTGTAGTTTGAGTTTGTCTGAAGTGCAACAGACAACATAATTAAGCTGTTCTAGCTGTGATCCCAGATTCACAAAGGCAAATTATCCTCTTCTACCAATTTTCTTACACAGTATATGACATACCAGCTTGCCTTTCTTGGGGTTTTTTGAGTCAGGCTTTGCTGCTTATGACGGATGTTTGTTTACCCACACAGTTGTGGTTTGAGCACTGTACGAGTCACATAACTACTGAATTATGTGTGCTTCCTCATTCTTTCTGAATTAGACAGTGGTGGTTTTTTTGCTAATTCTCAAAGGAGGTCAAAAACATGCATGTAAATCTAGGTTGGGCAAGTATGAACCTTCAGATATTGTTGCACTGTAATTCTAATAAATTCTATCTAGCATGGCTGATGGTCAGGGATTATGGGGGTTGGTTCAATAGAGCTGATGGGAGTTGTAGTATCAACAACCTCTGCAACAGGTTTCCCACACCTACACCAGGGTGAACTGAAAGGCAAAGGGAACGGGAAAGGTAAATTTATTTATATATTTTATTTATTTATTGGACTGACTCTGGGGCACGGTGCTCTACAAGCACTCTCCGGGCGGTTTACAATTTAATTATACAGGCTACACATTGCCCCCCAGCGAGCTGGGTACTCATTCCAAGCTGTAGAGCCAGCGTTTGTCCGAAGACAGTTTCCGTGGTCACGTGGCCAGCGTGACTAGACATGGAATGCTGTTACCTTCCCACCTTCCCATGGTGGTACCTATTTATCTACTAGCATTTTTATATTATTTTGAATTGCTAGGTTGGCAGGAGCTGAGACAAGCGACCAGAGCTCACTCCATGGCCTGGATTTGATTTTGTGACTGCTGGTCTTCCAATCTTGCAGCACAGAGGCTTCCGCAGTTTAACCCACAGCGCCATCAGGGAACCCGACTGCAATCCTAATCCTATTTACTCAAGTCTGGCACTGTTCAGTGGGTGAAAGGAAGAGCCACAAAAGCTTATATTCCAATATAATGGTTAATCTTGAAAGTGCTTTTGTCTTTTTATTTATTTTTATTTTTATTTGTTTTTGCTTGCTAAGCATTAGGAGGTGTCCCTGGGGTTCGTCTTGGTTCTTGGGGTAATTTAATAGGACGCCAGGGTTGGAGCTAACATCCCATTTCCTCTCTCTATTCAAAATCTCTTAGGCCTAAGAGATTCAAACCCCCGGTTGCCGGGGGGATTGATGGCCCTGCGCTGCCTCCCACAAAAGACCATCGCGGCGCAGGATGGGGGACCAATGAGCCCCCATTCCTCGGCAGAGCGTAAGTTGCTGTTTCAAAGTCAAGCTTCCTTCCCTCCTCACGTCTTTTTGTTGGGGGGTCTAGTGTGAATTGCCCCCGCGAGGATTTGTCTCGCCTTTCCGTAGCTGCACAAACCTTACACATTCCCTCTTTAACTCCCTGCCAGCTTCCAAAATGGCGGGTATCAACAAATGGATGACTACTAACTAAAGAACGGAAATGCCAGTTTCAAAAATGACTCCTTGAAGCGCAAACCGGCTTCACGCTAGGAGAAAAAAATATATGCAGCCGGCTGCGGACTTCCTCCCGCCCTTTTCCTTCCCATTACAAGTATGGCTGTCGAGGCTTCAATGCTTCCTGGTCACATGATCGGGAAACGCTCTATGCGTCGTCTCCCTAACCACCCTCAGCAATTCTGGGCAGACCTCTGGTGTTTACCTTGCGGAGAAGAGGGCTCCATGTAAATAAGGGTCGAGGGACGAAGACGAGGGCGGGGGGGGGGAAGATTTCCTTCTTTTAAAGCAAGGATATGAAGATGGGGGTGAAGGCAAAAAGGAGGTGTCAGATTTGAGGATCGGAATTCAGTGTCAGCAAGGATATGAAGATGGGGTGAAGGCAAAAAGGAGGTGTTGTCAGATTTGAGGATCGGAATTCAGTGTCACGTGAATTTTTCGATGTGAATTAACGGTGGACTGAGTTGCGTACGTGCAGTAGAATTTGGGAAAGCGGTGTGTGGGGCTGTAGATTTATTCTGGGATAGACACCTGGGACCGTGTAGTTTTTGATCGATGGGATTGGTGCAACCCCATAGGATAGGATATGGTACCACAGGACTTGGGGGAAAGTGGTCCATTGCAGAGGTGGCAGACCGTGGAGTTTGCTGGGACCGAAGCACTAGGGCCATCTGTTGGGAGTTACGGTGCCACCAGACCTGCTTCCAACCTAGGGGGAACCCTATGAATTAATGACCTTCCAGAAGGCCCTTTCATTAACAGCCCTGCTCAGGTCTTACAAATTGAAGGCCCTGGCTTTCTTTATTGGGTTAATCCATGATGAATCTGGAGTAAAAGAATTGAATCCAGGGGCTTTTATGAAGTTGCTGTGGGCAACAAAGGGAGTTGTGGATAAATGGCATCTAAAGGAAAGAGGACACAATCTAGGATTAGGACAGGGAGCAGCACCTGGAGCTGGAATGCAGAAGGACACGGTTGGAGGTCTGTAGTTGGGGTTGGCAACCTGGGGCCTTCCAGATGCTATTGGACATCAACTCCCTTTGTTGGAAGCTGGAACAAAGCCGCCTTTGGTGACTTAAGCTGGTCAGGAGTTGCAGTCCAGTAACATGCAAGAGGCAACCAGCTGCCTATTGCTAGCCTGTAGGATGAAAAAAATGCTGTGTGGCAATAAGTATCTGAACAGAGGAACATTGCCGCTGGTTGCTTTTCACTATTGTTACTCCACTCGTTTGATTTGCAGTTCTGTCTTTTTCTCCTTGCCACGATGTCACTGTGGGGCAACAGAGACAAGAAAAAACAATTGCTGTTTGCCTGCCCCAATTGAGAGGCTTTCTGCAAGGACTACAATGGCACAGCAACGTGGGGTCAACAGCCTGCGCTTCAACCAAGACCAAAGTAAGTGGTCTTCTATCTGATCTCTGGTTTGAATCTTCCAGTGCTTGTGGAGCCTGATATATTAAGGTTTACCACCAAGGGGGTGGGGTTGGGAAGGAATATGTTTAAATAGATGTGAGCAAACATCTAATGGCAATCTGTGGTGGTGATGGAAATACACTCAGCAGGAGCTTAGAGACTTGGAGTTATCATTTTATCTGTTCTAGCATTGGGCTGTGCATCCTGACTCAGACACCTAGAGTGCTGTATTGTCAGTGCATTGTAAAATCTAGATTTACGTGTTCTCTCCCTTGATAGGTTGCTTCTGCTGTGCAATGGAGACTGGGGTTCGTATCTATAACGTGGAACCTCTCATGGAAAAAGGACACCTTGGTAAGACACAGAGGCCTGGGTATGGGATTGTATCATGTCCTTCACCCTTATATGTGTTCTAATGGTATCTCCTGTTCCTTTTTCTTTTGTCAGACCATGAACAAGTGGGCAGTGTGGGTTTGGTGGAAATGCTACACCGATCGAATCTTCTAGCCATTGTGGGTGGAGGTGGCAATCCGAAATTCTCTGAGATCTCAGGTTTGTATCTGTTAAAAAAGAAAAGAGGAAAGAGGTCAGATAGCTTCTACTGCTATCTTGCTTCAGTCATGTCAGTGGTACCTAGAGAAAGTGGTATGATTTTTCACAGTCTCTGAAGAGGGGAAGGCAAGCTCTGTCCTATTTCGATATGATTTTCATTTGTTCTAATGTTTCCCATTGTAGTCTTGATCTGGGATGATGCCCGGGAAGGGAAGGAAGGCAAAGACAAGCTGGTTCTGGAGTTCACCTTCACCAAGCCGGCACTAGCTGTCCGCATGAGGCATGACAAGTATGTATGGATTTCTTTTGTTTCCACCTGACCAAAAAGGATCAATATGATAGTTGCACAGCTGGAACCAAGGCAAATGAACAGTTGCAACAATACATTTCTTCAAATCTTTTAAAAAATTTTATTCCGGAGGCATTTCAAGAAACTCTTTTCTCTAGGGAAAACAATGTGGATGTTTCCAGTACCATAAAAAACTTGCTTAACTTTCTATCTTCATTTCTCGAATGACTCCTTCTGAATGAGAAGGGCAGAAACAGGGCTGATCCATGTTTTGAAGTCAGTGGATTGTGGATATGGAATTTGAGATGGTGAAATTCTGTATTTTTATTATTATTTTTGAATCTCCCCTTCCAGAATAATCATTGTGCTGCGGAACCGGATCTATGTCTACTCTTTCCCTGACAATCCCACTAAGCTCTTTGAGTTTGACACCCGGGACAATCCCAAAGGTACTGCATGTACATGTTTTATTCCTGCTCCCTCTGCCCGAAAAGCCCTGTTTACCTCATGAAAGTGATTTTACCCCATATCATTCCTGTAAATGGGTTTGTAAGGATCCAGTCCAGCTCTGACTGCAGCTTCTCTGTTTTCTTGCTTGGATTTTTCCCCCCGGCTCCTGCTCCTCACTCTTTCCCAACAGGACTCTGTGATCTCTGTCCCAGCATGGAGAAGCAGCTTCTGGTTTTCCCTGGACACAAATGTGGCAGCTTGCAGCTAGTGGTGAGTATTTGAGGAGGAAGGGCAAAGGGGTAGGCAGGAGAGAACCAGCAGCCAGTCAGGGCTGACATGTTGTTACCATGATCTGATTTTAGTACAAGGATGAGGAACGCACACCTCCGAATACTGTTGGACTGAAGCTTCTGTGATCCATTGCCATTGTGGTCAATGTTTCCTCTAAGCTGCTTGTGCTTAGGGTTGCACACAGGCAGCTGGCAGTAGTTGGTTTGAATGAAGCCCCACCTACCCCTATACATTCAAGAGTGAGGCTCCTGAGCAGGGGGGACAGAAGCTTAGGGGGAACATTGTCTATGGTTGATTCCCAGTATGGTGTAGTGGATGTAGGGATGGACTAGGACTCTGGAGAACAGGGTTCAAATCGCCACTCAGCCATGGAAACTCGCTGGGGATGTGGAACTGGTAAAACCCCTCCTTAAGTATCTGAGTTACCTTGAAAGCCCTATTAGGGTTGCTGTAAGTTGGTTCCGATTTGATGGCACAGAACACACACACATGGTGGTTCAGTCTGATGGGAACTCTGATCATAGCAACATTTGGAAGGCCCTATCTCCACCTTTGGTGTACTGATTGCGAATAGCATATCAAACCAAGCACATTTACAAACATGGAATAAAAAACTCTAACACATCCAATCCCAGCGTCAGTAAGTTCCATCTCCATGTAATACTGTATATTAGATGGTGTAACAAGGACATCTCATCATTATTACTTTAGTTTAATAAAGTTCCTGAAGGAGGCATCTGTCCTGTCCTGTCCTGTCTTTCTAAGCTATATATTTATAGGAAGAAAGGCTTTTTCTTGACTTTGTTATTGCATGGTTCATTACAGTGGTGCCTCGCACAACGAGTGCCTCACACAACGATGAATTCACATAACGATGTCTTTTTCTGATAAATTTGCTGCCTCACACAGCGATGTTTCCTATGGGGGATTTTCACATAACGATGTCCCTTTCCCCTCATTTAAAAGTGTCTTAAACTGTTAGGAAACTGTTTTAAATGCTTGGCATCGATAGTCCAGCTTGTGAAAGGCATGCAAACTTAATTTGGTGTTGTTCTGAGTCTTCGTTCATTTTTGCTGATTTTTTTATTTTTCCTCATTGAAATGTATTGGACGGACCGTCCAATACATTTCAGTGAGGAAAAATAAAAAAAGAGACATCGGAATGCCATTGAAATGTATTGAGTCGGCTTCAATACATTCCAATATAGGAAACATTGTTTCACTCAGCAATGTTTCCTATGGGGATTTTCACTGAACAATGGCAATCCGTTCCAATTGGAACGGAGGCAAAGAGCTACGCAGGGTGCTAATTGCCTCATTCCTGAACAATGGAAAATCTTGCTCAGTCCAGGCCCAGTGTTACTGGGCCACAGGGTTCTGATCATTCATTAGCCAGCACCTCCACATGGTCAGGCCTGTTCTCACAAAAAAGCAGAAAAGGAGCCTCCTGCATTCTCTGTGCTTCTAATACACAACTGTAGATGGGGCACTTTTTCCCATTAAAGCCATTAAAGAAAAAAGGGAAATTTCCTGTTCTCCATTTTAGGTACTGAGCAGTCCCACATCTGCATAGCTGTAATGAGGTAGAAGCATCCTGAGATCATACCTCAGAACAGATGTTGGGAACCTTTGGCCTTCCAGATATTGTTGGACTGCAACTGTAAAACACAACCTACGGCCCTTATTATGGAACATGCATTTTCTGACAGTCCAGAAAATCCAGAAGACCAACGTTTTCAGTTCACATGTTTGCATAGCTTGGCCACTTGTGCCTAAGCCCTCCTCTTCCATTCTTCCTCTCCCTGCTGCCTCTCTCTATGCTGCCTTTCTAATTTAGTCTAGTTCTATTTTGACCCTGAAGTTGAAATAGGTGAACCTTGGTTTGATGTGAGGCAGAACTGGAAAGCACTTTCAGGTCTTGGTTTGTATTGGCTTTTATTTGATTGTTCCTGCTGTTAGCTACCTTGAGTGCCATTTTGAGGGGACAGAAAGATGGGACAGAAATTCAGTAAATAAATTTCAGTTTGCAGGCAAATCATGGCTTGTGGAAAACAGGAAGATAGGGAATGAATTTTGGTGCAACCCTGGGTGTAAAATGAGCATGCAAGCCTGTTTGTGCTCTTGGCCCTTGCGGACCCTGGTTAGACAATCAGGGAATGTTGTCTGAGCTCACTCCTGCCTTGGATGCTCTTTTAAATGTTTACTTGTCCTTCTCTAGGATCTTTCCAGTACCAAGCCTGGGACCTCATCTGCTCCGTTTACCATCAATGCCCATCAGAGCGAGATTGCCTGCATCTCCCTCAACCAGCAGGGCACCGTTGTGGCCTCAGCCTCTAAGAAAGGGACTCTCATCCGCCTCTTTGACACACAGACCAAGGAGAAGCTCGTGGAGCTCAGGAGAGGGACTGACCCAGCTACCTTGTACTGGTGAGAATTCCCTCCACCTTAACGAAACACAGGTTGTTACTCTCAGATGGCTCCCACTTCTCTGAGTATGTTAGAGGTACACACACTGTACATGAACACCTATTCCTCCACAGTGCTATTGCTCAACCACTGCTCTATTTTCATAAAGCAAAAACAGTGTACAGGTACTTGCTGGTCACTGCAGCTGGAGAAAAGCATGGATAAGAGCACATGTGGAGGGAATGGACAGCAGCAACTTCAGCCTATCACTGTTTGTATTGCAATTCTGCCTTAATCACAACTACTCTCATCTAGTTTTGAAAGGAGTGGGGCCTCCTGGTAGAAGCAGGAAAGGATCTGGCCTGAGACACCGAGAGAGCCACTGCTTCTCAAGGTGCAGGGTTCTGGGCTAGATGGACCAAAGATCTGACAACTGCTTAGGTTCTTGTCCTTTGGAGTATTTGCAATCATAGATTGAAGTGACCTTTTTGAAGAAGCACTGCCCTGTGCTGGAGATGTTGTGGTGATGGAAAATATACCAGCGTCATTGCACTAGTGCACGGCACCAACAAAGTATTACTTGTTTTCATGTGGTAACCAAAAACTTTTCTTTGTTTATTTCTGAATTACACCTACATCTCAGTTCCCTCCAGTGATCTGAACTATATATGGTTCTCCCTCCTCTGATACTCACAATAACAGTGTGAAGTAGAGCTGGCTGAGAGAGTGACTGGCCTAAATTTGCTCAGTGAGATTCAGGGTTTAGTGAGACTTGAACCTGGATCTACCACGTCCAGCACTCAACTCTCGAAACAGACTTTAGAATTAGATAAATGGGAGCACAGACCTTCAAGCACTGGTTTCTAAACTGCATTTTCTATACCAATATTCTATTTGGGCATTTTCCTTCAAAGAAAACACAACTACTTTCGGCTTAAACTATCCTTCTTTCATGTTACTTAACTTGTTCTGTACTATAAGTGCAAGCCATATAAGGCATATGCTTTATTTTAGAGCAGGAGAGGGATGTTTGGTCCTCCAGATATTTTTGCACCCAATACCCATGAGCCTGTGCCAGCATAGCCAGTGGTGAGGTTTCATGGGAACTGTAGTCCGATACCATATGGAGAGCCAAAAGTTTCCTACCCCTGTTCTAGAGCCTGCTGTTTAGTTGGCACTCTGTCGGAAACAAACAGTGGGAAAAATGTTCATGTGATCTAACAAGTGGCCTGCTGGGTGCTGTGTCTTTAAGGTTTTTTATTTTTAAATTTAAATTTTGAAATCCCATATAGAAGTTAGCAAATAAATGTTAAAATAATAAAGAGATATGATTGGCTGTAGAATACAGTGATCAGTAGTTGAAATATTTCATGACATGGAGTTTTCTCCTGCTGTTTGGATCAGAGCAAGGTATTGATAGAGCAAATATGAATAACACTTTTAGGCTTTCAGATGTTTTGGACTTCCACCTTCAGGAAGCCCCATCTAGCATGGCCTATGCTCATGAGGTCTATGATTGTTCTAGTTCAGAATCTGGAGGACCAAAGAGTCTCCTTCCTTCCTTCCTTCCTTCCTTCCTTAATTTCTTTCTTTACTCCTTCCTTCCTTCCTTCCTTCCTTCCTTCCTTCCTTCC